AAATGTGAATAGAAAAAGTCACATGACCAATTACACCATAAGCAATGGTTACCCAATGAATCCTATTGGTAGAACTGGAATATGTGGCCGAGGAGTACTTGGACGATGGGGTCCAAATCATGCAGCAGATCCTGTTGTTACACAGTGGAAAAAACAAGCTGATAGTGAAATGGCTTTAGACAAAATAACTAAAAAGTAAATATTTATTACAACATTTTAGTTAAATAATATTCATGTGCATTTAAATAATAGGTAAAGATACTCATTTCAGACCAATATTACAATTTGTAGCTATAAAACGCGGTGATACTGGAGAATGGGCTCTCCCAGGTGGTATGGTTGACCCTGGGGAGAAAGTTGGAGTTACCGCTGTCAGGGAATTTCAAGAGGAAGCCATGAATTCTTTAGCTGCTACTGAAGGTTTATATTGTTTATTTTACACTTTTACTTGACAATGAAATCATTGTATATGTATAGAGTTCATCATCTTATCTTCTGTCATCTCAGTTGTCACACCATTCTAGATCATGTCAATCCTAAGCCAACATCATTGTACCTTTCCAGACTCTTTACTAAAGTTCTCCTTGTTTGTGCATACAAATATAGAGTTCCTGTCTTCCAAATTTACCTTTCTACATTTTATTCCTACTATATACTGTACCTTTGTTCTTTGCAGAAGAAAAATCGGCATGGAAACAAAAATTTAAAAACTTCTTTAGTGGAGGAGTGGAAGTGTACAGTGGCTATGTTGATGATCCACGAAACACTGATAATGCTTGGATGGAAACAGTTGCATACAACTTTCATGATCATGACGGCTCCACTGTTGGTGCTCTCAAACTAAATGCTGGTGATGATGCAGTTGGAGTTCGTTGGGTTGACATTACACCAAACATTAAATTATATGCAAGCCACAAAGATATTGTAACAGAAGTGTATAAAAGATTACTTCAATAAAGTATTTTTATGCTCGTAATAAATATTAAGTGGAATTTTTCTCAGTTTTAACAACTGTAAAGTCATAAAACTAATGCGTGAATTGTGACATGTGACAGATCTGAAGAAATAATAAAGACTATTTTTTTTTATTTTGTTTTAATATATCAATTAAGTAATACAAACTTACAACTATGTTGCATATTGTATTAAACAAAATGCATAACAAATAACAGCTAGATTGGAATTCCATCTCTAATGCTAGAATCATTGTAATGCGAGATATTTATGTTGTGGCACTGAATGACTGATATAGTTCCTAGCAAATAAAAAAAAAATCTATTGTTTGAATTTTTTATTATTCTATTATTTGCTAATTACTATATTTACTACCTAAATACAAGCATATGTGTATGTTAGTAATCACACACACTTTATTTCTGAGATCCACTAATGTTGGTCCCTATTTATTTAACCTATACAGAAACAGATTTTCCATAATTTTGAACCAGTATATTGCACAAAATAAATGTAATATGATATCCCGTTTAAAATGATTAATGCCCATCATTTTATTATTCAATTTTTTAAAGGTTATTGTTAAATTTAATGAAAGCCCTGATTACTTACAGCTAATGTTAGAGAGGTCCCTAATAAAAATGACTAGTTACTAAAATTTAAACTACATAATGAAGATTCATCTTATGTTTTTCCCTTATATTTCTTAGCAAAACTTACATCTACAAAAGAAATTATATGAAATACCTAGAGATATATAACTTACAATTAAATCTAGTTTTATATGATAACACACCACAATCTTTTTGTGACAAATTTTTTAGGTTACATTATTAAAATTTAAAATTGTCAAATGCCAACATCAGAATAAAACAATATTATGTAGATATACTAAAAATAATAGAAAATAAAAGGTCTATTTACTATTGCTTAACCATAAAGCATTATTTCGAAAATTAGGAACAGGCTAAGTATAAAATAAGATATAAATATGTAAATGTAGTGGAAATCAGTTAATTCCTAGTTTAAGATTTCCTAAAGTTAATATAAATTTTTGTTTTACAAATAATTGTACCGTTCCAGATTGACGGGGGTACTGCCGCGTCTACACAATCAGTTGTAGTAAAGTAATAATTACGGTACACAACACTGTCTCACAGATTTAGTGTGTTTGCATTAATAATTTCATAGCACCAACTTTTAGTGTGGCTTTACCCTCACAAAGTGGATAGTTCAATATTGTCAAAATTAATAATAATTTGTAGCTAGATTTATATTACGGAAAGTACATATTTATCTTTGCAAAAAAATATTACAAAGTACTTTCGAGTAATTGATTTAAATAAGTGTTTTAGCCACTATACGCTAAGGTTAATGTGATTTTATTTTTTTTCTTTAGTCATCCAAATTATTATAATTGGTAAATAAAAGGTATATAATATAGGATAAATTATATCCTATGTACCATAATACTAGGCCTTATATGGAAGGAATGGGCGTTGATTTAACGATCTAATTGAATCAACCATTGATCTCCTTTAACATATCAACTGTTGGTCGTTTATGAACTAATTCAACAATTAACAAAACCAAAAAGTTGCTCAACAAGTTGAAGGAAGGAAATTTATGTTAAGTTACCTTGACCATACCCATCCACCATTTCTATGTATGTTCAGGCGAGCATGTTGTTGTTTTCTGCAAGCGACTGGTAGGCCTGATAGCAGTTCACGTCGTTCATCAGTCGCTGTATGTTCTGTGTGAACGATGGCAGATCCTGAAACAACATTTCTCACGTATACTATGACTAGCTATCGCCCTCGACTCCGTCTACGTGAAATTAAAAAAAAACTAATAAGTACGCTACGTTTTCTTTCAGACTATGTTCTACATCTACGCCTCATAGCATCAAGATCATAGAAGTAGTTAATACTTGACTTTAAGGCAATACATACAGTATCTGAGGGAAAGCTGTTGAGCAGAGTGGCGTGGTGTGGCGCGAGTCCGGGCAGCGAGCGCAGGAAGGCGGGCAGGAAGGCGTGACGGAATGCTGCGAAGTCTACGCAGGCCATCGCGTGCGCAGCCGACACCGCCTCCTCCCGCACCAGCGCACGCGCCCCGCACCCCGCGCCCACACCGCATATACCCGACAGCAGCACCGAAAGAAACTCACCCAGGAACTCTGACCGGAATATCACCTAGAACAGGCAGAAAAGACCGCGACATGTTTCAAATTATTACTGGAATTATAAAATTTATTCACACAAAGATCTATTTAGAACATAAAGTATTGTTTATTGCAAAACGTTTTAAGTTTATATAGATGGCACCGAGCAGATCGAGTCAACCCTAAATTATAACAATTAAGCACGCTTATCTTTTAATCTTTGAAATTCTTCATAGTTAGAAAGAGATTCAGCTCTTAAGTTTTATTTTGAACATTACTAGCCTTATGATATAGTTTCCACTTGGTGTTGAGCAGGTCTAGCGCGGTGAGGGCGGTGCGCAGCAGATCGATGTCGTCAGCGAGCAGCGCGCGCCCGAGCGCCGCCAGCGCACCGCGCAGCTCGCCCGTGCGCCGCGCGCCCTCCTCCTCCTCGCACTTGTGCGGGAAGAAGTAGCGCCACCGGTACAACAGTACGCTACAACAAACGAATATTTTAATGGCTTCCGACTCGTAGGACCGAATTAGTCAAATTAACATTACGATATTTTTATAACAGAAATTAATTAATGTTGTCATGACTAGTGTACCTGGCGAGCAGACGGTGGGCGGCTCGCGCGAGTCCGGGCGCGTGCGGCTGCGCGCGCGGCAGCACGTGGTGATGCAGCAGCTCGAGCACAGCGCGCACGCGCACGCCGCCACCACCCGCCTCTACGCCCAGACGTACGCACTCAACTAGACGCTCTAAGCTCGCTTCACTCTCCCCTCTGCATGAGAACAATACATAATATTCGATTTAAAAATAATTAATATTTCCTTTACGATGGATTATTAGAACAATATAAGTATATACTGACTTCTGCGCGACTTCTAGGAAGACATCTATAGCGGTGTAGGCAAAGTT